TTATTATCGTTAATGTGCTTTAAAATTTTTTTTTTACAAGTTTTTCAAAGATTTTTTAAGAAGCAAGTAATTTATCTCCCTTTTTTTTATAGATCGGACTAATATTTGCTAATTTCCATTGAGTGGGTACTACTCCAGAATTAAAGGATTTATGAAAGATTTTTGTTAATGGAATTGCAAAGCTTTTGGCACATATCTTGAATATTAAGGGATGCAAGCCGTCAGGTCCGAAGGATTTATAAGGCTTTAGATCGGCAAGTTCCTGAATAATATCTGAGATAGAGAAATCCAAGTTTTCATTATAAATGCATTCAGAAAGAATATCACTTTTATTTAGCAAAGGAAAATTTTCAGAGCTTTCAAGTGTAAACATAGATTTAAATTGAGAGTTCAGAAGATCAACTATATCAGGAAGAGCTTCAATAATTCTGCCTGAAGTATCTTTGAGAGAGCGAATTCTATCTTTAATTTTTAGTTGTTTGTTGATATATTTGTAAACGATTTTTGGGTTGTTTTGGGATTTTGATATTATTTCTTTTTCATGTGCTTTTTTTGCTTTAAATATTTCAGTTTTTACTGAACGATTAAGGCGATTGTATTTTATTTTAAGCTCACTATTCTCCCATTTGGTAGAGCAGTTTATATGCCAAGCGGATTTTTTTTCTCGGATCAGGTTTTTAATATGTGGGGTAACCCAAGGATCATACTTTTTTTTTGTTTTATTAATCTTGGGAATAAAATATGTGCAAGCAGTGCGATAGTTAGAAATTAGTATATTGAACATTTGATCTGCAGTTTTATGCAGGAATAAAAACTCCCAGTCGATTGATGCAATAAAGTTAGATATTGAATCGTAATCACCTTTTTTGTAATTAAACGATTGAGATACACTTTCGGTAAACAGTTCTGAAACTAAGAATCTCCAAGTGATACTAAAATGACCCTTAGTGGTGTTACCTAGTATAGTACTAGGAGACAAGTTTAAAATAGAATTACTGTTGTAGGTAAATAACAAGTCCAACATATTATTTGAGGAACCATAATCAGTCTGGAAAGTAGGAAATGTGATATGTTGAGTAAAAAGGCTGTTTTGGAAAAAATTCCAGAAATCATACTCGGTAGGATTGTTTGGGTTAAAAGATTCAATACCATCGTTAGACCACTTTATATTTGGGAAGTTAAAGTCACCGACAATTAAACAGTCATCATAGGGCTTTTTAATTAAACTATGAGCTAATTTGAAGGATTCAGCGACATATTTTATTAAACTGGCATCATTTAGTCTGTATATACAACCGATAAGTATATGTTTGTTGTTAAATTTTACAGATACCCAGACTTGTTCGAGAAGATTTGTATAAAATTGGTTAACTTCATTAGAGTTAAATACGTCTGTAATGTAGATAGCTACACCGCCACCTCGACGTCCGTCTTGACGATCTTTACGATATAGGCTATACCCATCGATATTAGGTACTGAGTCATTTCGAAACCATGTTTCAGAGATAGCAATAACGTGATAATCAAACGTTCTAGATATTGAAATTAAATCGGCCATTTTATTATCGAGAGATGTAGCATTAGTATAATAACAATTAACGCTATAGTTTTTTTTTTTGTTATGAAGATTTTTACTTTTGTATTTTAAGTTTGCTGGTAAAAGAGTGGAAGAAGGGTAGTAATGTTTATGTAGTGGTTTGTATATTTTTGAGTTTGACGACTCCGCTGCTTCGTATACCGTATCTAAAGGGCGATGTTTTTAAATTGATATTACTATTTAATTCATTACGCTTCATTCTTAACTGATAGTTTAAATATCTTTCAGCCTCAGTCAAATCTGGGCTTATAAAAATATTTTTATAATTATCTGAATTTTTCAATTTTTTTGCTGCTGTTAATAATGGGTTTCTTTCGGAGACATCAGAAAGTTCGACGATAATTGGTCCTGGTTTAGAGGACGTAGATTTAATACGTTTGACAGATTTTGGTTTTGCATCAGATGAAATAGTAACTAAGATATTCTGAACCGTTTCCTTATCGTCGATATGCTTATCAGCAACTGATAACTTTGCATATTCTTTAATGCCATAAATAATAACATTTTTTTTACGCTTCTTTTTTTGCTGTTGCTCAATGGCAAATGTGTTGATAATTTTTAGTTGTTCAATAGGCTGCTTTTTTTTAATGTTTTTGCTTGCAACTGTAACCCAGCTGGATTCGATACTACTGGTTGTGGTATTAGTTAGCTCATTAGGATTTTGGATTAGCTTATCTATTATTAATTGTTGTTGCTTTATTACTTGTTCTAGTTCAGATATTTTGGCCGACCATTTCGCAGTTTCAGCATGAATAAGTTTTTTAATTGCGTCCTCGACTTGCTTTAATTGAGCTGGTGTTAAATTAGTCATCACAGATGAATTTTTTTTTTTTATATCAGTGATGTTTTTATGTTTATTTATTTGTTACAATTATTGCAAATTTATTTGTTACAATTATGACAAATAACTTATTACACAGGGACTAAAAAGATTCAGTATGTGTTTTTTTCCGTGTTATCATATTTATTTGTATATATTTAATTTCTTTATATTATTTGTATATGTTTACATATAACTTTTTTATATGTATTTTATATATAATGGATATATAATTTACTAATATAGTTTGTGTCAGAGCGCAAAAATTTAGCTTATTGTTCAGAAAACTAAAAACAAAGAACAGGTGCAAACGCAACTTTTGGCGAAGAAAAAGAAAAAAAAAGAAAAAAAAAAAAAAAAAACTTTTTATAACTCTGTAAAAAAAAAAAAAAAAAAAAAATTAAGCGAACTGAAGCATAAAAAAAATCTCAGTTATAACTATTTTTATAATAGTAATATATAAATAAAGATATATATAATAAAATATAAGTATAGGTATAAAATATAAGAATTATATTTAATTTAGGTATGCGAAGTACAACAAAAACTGTATTATAGACACGAATAGTTAATATAATTTTAAGTAGAAAAGTAATTAATAAGCTAATTAGATAAAGCAATAAGTAGAAAAAGAAGTAGTGGTTAGAAAAAGTTAGAAAAATAAGTAAAAAAGAAAGATAAAGAATACGGAAAAAAAAAAAAAAAAAAAAAAGAAAAAAATTTAAAATTCCTGAAAACTTACGCTCAAACAAAAACACGTCTTATCGGCTCAAAGGCTTAAGCGATGTGTAGAAGTACTGGAATTCCGACTAAGAAAAAGCATATAATTAAGAAAACTGCCAATAAACGATCAGAACAGATAAAATTGTTAAACTATAATGTTCATTTCACCTAAAAAATGTATTTATTTAAAATCTTATTAAAATTTAGACAAGCAATTGTGATTTTAAGAAGATTTTTTAAAAAAAAAAAAAAAGAATCTTTGTTCCAGGTTTTTTTCGCTACAAACACTTTTATTTTATGATTTTACACAAAATTTATCATTATAATTTTTTTCGTCTTTCATAATTCACACACTTAATCATTTAACGGAAAATAATATTTCTTACTATGATTACTGACTCAATAATACTGAGCCTTGTAAAAATTGCCTCAATGCAGTTATTAGCTTTTCATTTATATAAAATTAATTCTTTGCAGTGTTAAAGTCTGTACAGCAACATATAAAACAACAGTATTTCTAACAAAAAAAGTTTTTGAAAAGTAGAACTTAAGCTTTTCCTACATAATTTATTATTTTTTTTATAAATCTTTTTTTAACCAAAGCATCAAGCAAAACAAAACTAACACTAAAATAGTTTTAGTGTTAGTTTTAAAATGCGACGGAGTATCGTAAAAAAACTGCTGAAACAAATGTGTTAAGTATTTACATTTTAAAAATGTTTCTTTTATTTGAGTAGTAAAAAGTAAGTAAAAAGACTTATCGTTTACAGCATTAAAATATTCAATAAATGACTAAAAACCTTTTATTTTTCCGTAAAAAGTAAAAACGTTAAAATCAAAGTATTCACTTTTGTTATCACTGATAGCAACTTATTTCCATAATCTCTTTATAGTCGTTTGATTAAATTACTAAACAGAATTGATTCACCTTTTATATAACTTCTGCCCCATAGTATTATGCTAAAACTTCAAACTCTTAAATAATAAAATCACCGAATATTTGTAACAAAATAAAACAACGAGCTTCGAGATATATTTAAAAAGATAAAATAATCAAAACACACACAAAATAAAACGGTTTTTTTTTGAAAACGAAAGGACCTAAATGCTATATATTTTTTCGGATCTCTTCTTAACTACGCTGATAAATTATTAATTGGGTCGCTAACATGTATTCCGACGTTGAGCATCCTTGACGTCCGAAAAACCGAATAGGCAAATTGGGATATATAGGGATTTCGCAGTGTACAAACGACAAAATGATATATAATATATATAACTAGATGTCTAATTTTGATCCGAAAAGTGAAGCCGCTTTTTGGCATTTTTACAAATGGCGGATTAAATTTTTAAACAAATATTTTTAACTTTTCTTTTCTTAAATGAAGTAAATATATTTTAAATTTAAATACTATTTACATAAGAGCGTTAAGCGGAAATTATAATACTTGTAAAATAATAATTTATGATTCCTTAATTTATTTTTGATTAAAAAGGGATTAAAGTTTTGAATGGAAAAGTAAAACGACAGACGCTATTGAAGCATTTTTATGAATTAAATTACTTTTTAATAAACATAGACTTGTAAAAAAACTTTTATAAGTATTTTATAATTACTAAAATTTGTTTTTGAATTATCTTTAATTTATTGGGAACTTTTGACTTTTTGCATTTTTAACCTTTATTCCACACGCAAGTTAGACATCTTGTCATATAATATATCATAGCATGAACATCGTTCCCGTATAAAAATAAACAATGCTTCGTATTCGTTTGCGAAATCCGCTCCTAGATAAAAATATTAACGCACGAGGACTTTTATTTTTACGAAACCGAAACTAAAGCAAAATGTTCATTTTACAAAAAACATGAAAAATTTAAAAAGAGACTCTAATTGATTTTTAAATAAAACTGAATATATATGATACAAATATTCTTTTTGATCAAAATTTGTCGTACTTAGTTAAAAAGTTTTTATTATTAATGGATATAAATAGTATATAATGGATAGTCAAATTAATCCAAATACCCAAATTAGAAAACTGCCATACAGAATTTTGAGAGATATAGCTGCCTTACTTGATATTCCTGGTAATAGAGATTGGAAGGCATTAATTGCTCAAATGCCAGATAATAAATACACACCTGCGCAGGTAAAAAGGATGTTTAAATGACACTCAACCACACTTATACACATTCATACAAATATATCTATTTCCAATTAATTTATAAAATAGTTAAAGTTGTTATAATTTTAGTTTTGTTTTAAAAGTTCAATATTTTGAAAATTAAAAAAAATTGTTTAAGTTATCTGGAAATCTTCAGCAATAAAGTACTATAAGATAGCAATAAGTAAAGGTACTTCATTGTTGATGATTGCTAATAGGCATGAGTGTTCATGAGTGTTCGAACATCTATGGTGTTCACCCTAATAAATTTTTTTATGCTGGTACATTGAAAATACAAGGGTTATCATATTTTTATTAAGCATAATTGTAAATTGATATATATTTAATTTTTTATGCTTTTAAAATATTTAATTGAGACAAATATTCTACAGTGTTTGCTCAGCCATTAAAAAACCTGAGAAAGTTTTAAATAAATATTAACATAACTATTTTTATTTTGATTTAAATATATAAATTTTTAGGTACTTATTTATGTATAAAATAATGATTTCTTTAAATTAAAATCTGAAGAAAAAATAAATGAAAAGAATATAAGTCGTTTATATACCTGTTTATATACATATAAAATTGCATAAATATGTTTATTTTACTTCATCATTAGATCTCAATGTTTGAGCGTCAAAGTTTAAGAATGGGGGGCAGCCCATCATATGAACTATTGAAAGATTTAGGGTTTCAACTAATGGAAGTGGCTGAGCTTGCAGCTTACCTTGAAGCTATTGATAACCAGGAAGCATTACTTCTTATAAAACCTTATGGTAAGTATATTTTTAATATTTTTTAATATTATGGCTGGTTTATAATAACTGGTTATTAATTTTGTTGTTTATTCTATGATCTGTGTTCAACTTTCTATATTCTTCATTCTCTGTTAAACAAAAAAGTTTTTCATTTTTGATCCGTTTATCTCATTTAGTTAGTTTTGTTTGTTTGTCAGTTAAGCATGATTACTTTTTTTTTTTTCTGTCAATAAACATAACAAGAAGTTTTAATACAACTCCTAAAACTCACCTCAACTTCTTTAATTACAAAAAATTAACATAAGTTTTTATCAATTACCAATTCACAGTAGTTAATATTAACAACCACTAAAACATAATCAATAATAATTACAAGTTAAAAACTATTAAGTACAAGCTTCATCAAATTTTCCAGAGCTTTTCACAGTTTTTTGTATATTTTCGAAATTGTTTATAGTTGCTGTTTTTCATGCATCTGTGTAGAAATACTAAAAATTGATTTTTAGTAAAATTTTCAAACTAATAAAAGTTTCTAAAATTTATTAATTCTAAAATTAATTCTCAAAATTTTAATAATAGTAATAATAATAATAATAATATTAATATTATTTTTATTATTATTACTACTGAATCCTTAATTAACAGGTTTGATATTGTCAATCAATTAAATAATTTATTTAAATCAGTATTTTTAGAAGAAAAAAAAAACAAAGTACCAAGTTTTATTATTCAAAAAGATTCAATACCAACCTTTAATATGTCAAACTTGTATGAACATATATTAAAATTAGATATCTACAAAAATGTTGGTGTAGATAATGTGCATGAATATGTGTTAAATTAATGCACATTCAATTTTTGAAATCTGTTACACATTCTGTTAAATGTTTTGTTTAATAATTCAAAACTGTCTCATATTTTTAAAAAGCTGCAAATATAACTTTGTTATTTAAGAAGTGTATTAGATTGATTTCAGACAATTATAGACCCATATCTTTATTACAAGTTAATACTGTGTTTATACATATATATATATTTTTTCTCTTAAGATTATGGCATTTAAATCTCTCTGCAATACTTGTCATAAAAATATAACTGACAATTAAAGAGCCATCTAATGTGATCTTTGTAAGCCATGGGTCCATGCAAAGTGTAACCATATCAATGCACAATCATATAACCTTCTTTTGAATGACTCGTCAGATTTGTATTGTCATAGCTATTTATCTAAGAGTATGGCCTTTAGCTCGATTTCCAACTTGGAGCTTAAGTCAACATTATTATGCAAAAATATATCTACTAGTTCATTATATTCTTTTGAGACTCCAAGTAATCATAAAAATATCTTTAAAGATCTAAATAAATTTCCCAGTTCTGTTAATTGCAAATACTATGACGTTGTTGATCTCAATAAAACTATGCTTCCCAATTCAGAACTATATATTCATCTTAACATCGTTTCTCTACCATTCCATATTGACGAACTCTGTAGTCTTATCAGCCTTCTTAATAATTTTCTCTTAGCAATAGGTATTCCAGAATCTAATTTATATATAAACGATACAAATATAACTGATATATACATAAACGGGTTAATATTCAGCATTGTCCTACTGAGGCTAAAAAAGGTGGAGCACTTTTATACTTACGCTCAAATTTAAACTACGTTGTTCGCAATGATCTTATGATTTACTCTTCAAAACATTTAGAGTCTATTTTTGTTTTAATACCTTTTGAATCAAATATAATAATTGGTTGCATTTATCGTCATCCCTCAATGAATCAACATGAATTTACTTCTTCCCACTTAACTCCTCTACTTGAAAAGTTAAGTAACGAAAAAAAAAAGATTCTTCTATTGGGTGATTTTAATATGGATTTATTAAGTCACAATGAATCTAACCCTGTTTCTACATATCTAGATTCTTTAACATCTTACTCGTTAAGCCCTTCTATAATTTTACCACCACGCATAACGGCTGCATCAAAAATGCTCATTGATAACATATTTACGAACTTTCATTCAACTGATCAATTCTCAGGTAACCTTACTATTTCAATTTCAGACCAAATGGCACAATGCATTCCTGGCATACCCCACCACCCCAAAAAAGTAAAAACTTACAGACGATGCTTCAAAAAATTTAATAGAAATATATTTATTTAGGAAATTTCTGATATCAACTGGGAACTCTTCATTAAAAAAGATGATGATGTTAATAAATCCATGAATTTTATTTTAAAAACATTTGATGAAATCTTAGACCGACATGCTCCTTATAAAATACTAACCAACCAACAAATTAAACTAAAATCAAAACCTGGGATTACGTATGGAATACTTAAATCTATTTCAGTTAAAAACAAACTTTATAGAAAGTTTATAAAATCAAAAAATATTTATAAGAAAAATGAATTATTTGCAAAATTTAAATTTTATAGAAACAAAATTTTTAATTTATTAAAATTTAGCAAAAAAACATACTTTATTACTTATTTAAACAGTAATCGGAACAATATTAAAAACACCTGGAAGGGAATAAAAGAAATTATTAATATTAGACCTTCTACACACAATACATTTTTTAAACTCAAATTGAACAAAAATCTTATCACTGATCACACTGCCGTATCTAATATATTTAATAATTACTTTAGCGCTATACATAACAAACTACTTAGCAAAGCCATACACCCTAAAGGCATATTTAGTGACTTTCTTAACATTCTAAATGTTAACTCATTTTTTATTAATCCAGTAACTGAAAATGAAATATCTGGTCTCATTACAAACACGCTTAAAACAGAAAAAAGTCTTGGTCCTAATAGCGTACCTACATTTCTCCTCAAACTAGTTTCACACATTATTTCAAAGCCTCTCTGTACTGTTATAAATAACTCATTTAAAAGTGGTATTTTTCCAGATATTTTTAAAGTTGCCAAAATTATTCCAATATTTAAAAAAGGCTCTCTTCTAGATTTTACCAATTACCGACCCATCTCTCTGCTTTCTAATATAGGTAAACTCTTTGAGAAGGCAATGCATAATAGGCTATATTCTTTTCTTGAAAATCTTAAATGCTTTTACACCCATCAGTATGGATTTCGTGCCAATCACTCCACAACTCATGCTCTCATTGAAATGACTGAACTAATTAGAAAAGCACTTGATGATAAATGTTTTGCATGTGGTGTATTTGTCGATTTACATAAAGCGTTTGACACAGTGGATCATTCAATTTTGTTAAAAAAATTAGAATATTATGGGATTAGAAGCGTACCGCTTAAATGGTTCACTACATATTTAAACAACAGAATACAATTTGTTTTTATTAATGACTCAAAATCTACTCTTGTAAAATGTTCTAATGGTGTTCCTCAGGGTTCAGTATTAGGACTAGGACTACTTTTTCTTCTTTATATTAATGATCTTCATACATCCATTAAGTTTGCTACTGTTTACCACTTTTCTGATGATACTAATCTAATACTAATTAATAAATCCCTTAAAAAAATTAACAAACACATTAACCATGATCTTTATAATCTAGTTCAGTGGCTTCGCTCCAACAAACTTTTTCTAAACTTAAATAAAACTGAACTCATTATCTTTAAATCAAATAAAACAAAAATCTATAAGCATATGAACTTTAGAATAGTGGCAAAAAAATTGAACCTGTTAACTCAATTAAATATCTTGGTATAAAAATCGATTCAAATTTTTCCTTTTTATCCCACTGTAAAGACTTAGCAATGAAACTAAGTAGATCTATTGGTATGTTGGCCAAAATTCGCCAATATGTTAATTTTGAAACACTCTTGAACATTTACCATGCTACTTTTGGCTCACATCTTAGATATGCATGCCAAGTATGGGGGCAGTCCCATCAACAAGCTCTTATTAGGTTATCCCACCTCCATAACAAGGCTTTAAAAATCATTCGTTTTCAGAGTATTAAATTTAACTCTAATATGCTCTACCTAACTTCTAAAGTATTAAAACTATGTGACTATATGCAACTTTTAAACTGTCAATTTGTCTGGAACCACCAACACAATAACCTACCTTTAACTTTCATTATTTCTTTTCCAAAAGTGCCAACAATCGTTATCACCTTTGTTCCGATAGTAATTTAAACCTGTCTGTCTCTAAACACCGCTCTCATAATTACGGGCATAAATCCATGAAATATCAAAGCACTAAAACTTGGAATAACCTTCCTTATGAACTAAAAGCTCTCAATTCATTCTCAACCTTTAAAACCAGTTTATTCTGCTTTTTATTAAAAAAATATAGTTAATGTTTATAATTTCTATAATCTATTTTTGTTGTCGTAATATATATATATATATATATATATATATATATATATATATATATATATATATATATATATATATATATATATATGTATATATATATTTTACAGTTTCTATTCTATATTTTTTATTGATTATTGTTATTTTTACTAATATTTACTATTGATAACTATTTTTAACTTTTATTATTACTAATACTAATATTGTTGTTATTATTGTTATTGTTATTATTGTTATCATTATTGTTATTATTATTATTATTATTATTTTTATTGTTATTATTGTTATTGTTATTATTGTTATAACATTGTTGTTTATATTACATCGTTATTTTATGTTATAAAGTTTATTATCGTTATTATATATTGTGAAAATTAGCATTATATTTATTTTAATTAGATATTAATAACATTAGTAGGTGTTTACTTTATATTAGTATATTTACTATTTGTAAACATCCTTGAATGTAAAACCTTAATTCAGATATAAATGATTGATTGATTGATTTAACCTCTATTATATATACGACCATTATAAAAGGCTGCATACTTAACTTTTTAGATGTGAAAAGTTAAGTATGCATGTGTGGTGAAAATTTATTGAACTAGAATTAACAGGAAGATAGGATTTTAAAACATAAATCATGCCTCGCCAATTTTGTTGAATATATGGACTTGATTACATGTTTATCCCAAAAT